TGAGACTGTCGCACAGTCTGGAGTGTAATGGCGCAATCTCAGCTCACTGCATGCAACCTCTGCCTCCAAGATTCATGCGATTCTCCCGCCTCGGCCTCCCGAGTAGCTGGGATTACAGGCGCAGGCCACCCACACCCAGCTAATTTTTGTATTTTTAGTAGAGATGGGGTTTCACCATGTTTGTCAGGCTGGTCTTGAATTCCTGATCTCGTGATCTGCCTGCCTTGGCCTCCCAAAGTGCTGGGATTACAGGCGTGAGCCACTGCGCCTAGCCAAAAGTATTAGATTTTAAACTACATGTACACACCCAACTGACTTTCCTTCAACTGCCTCCACTCACAAAACAAAACTTCAATGTGTGCTAGGTCTAATGGCAAATGAATACAACCTGGCTGACCTGCTCTGAATGTTATTAAAACACACGGTAGCTCTAGCTCCTTACAGGGTAAGGATTCTACTTTGAAACACAGGGCAAATGTGGAAACTTCTCTCTTACAAATTTGGTTTTGGTGATCATTTAAGTATAAATAAAGACAGGAATTGCCTTAAATGTATCCAGATAAATGAAATCTTATTATTTGCTAACTGGTGCTGATTCTGGCATCCACATAATCCCACAGCTGTACCCTTTACGTGATTAAACTATACAGTAATTAGTAGAGAGAAATTAGAGCTGGAGAAGAAGCAATTATTAGGACAAGTAAAAGATCACAGTCAACAGCCTATAATCTCAAAAAGCAAAACACAATAGTGAAACTCTAAAGAGTTGTTCTTATGCTCTTCCCTCTTCCTATAACTATTAAAATTTAATACAACTTATTTGAAAAACATTTGTAAATGAATATTAATCAAAGTTGGTGGAACCTGGCTCACACTTGTAACCCCAGCACTCTGGAAGGCAGGAAGATCACAAGAGGTCAGGAGTTCAAGACCTGCTTGGGTCAAAAAGGAAGACCTGCCCCCATCTCGACAAAAAATACAAAAAAAAAAAAAAAAAAAATTAACTGAGTGTGGTGGTACACGCCTGTAGTCCCCGATGCTCAGGAGGC